ATTATATTAGCAGAACCTAATTTAGCAGAAGCAAATCAGTCCGTTAACGATTTCCAAAGCTATCAAAAACGCTAATATGCTAAATGAGAAGCTAATTTGTCTATTAGGGGATTAGCAGAACTGTGAACACCACTGTGGGTTTCAGTAATAAATGTTTATTTTAAAGCTTAACTAATAGTTGTTTCTGCCTGGTTTTAGGTGACAATCAACAGCAAAGGCCTGGTGTACTCTGTGGTTCTGCTGCTGGCCTCGGTCTCCCTCACCGTGAGTACAACCTGACCTCTGTTATACATCACAGATCTGATTCTGAGCGTAAACAGACTCACTTCTTCCTGTTCTCCCTCACACACATCATTTTGATCCTATCATCCCAAATCAGTGAGAGCTTTTGATAGACTTCTGTAAAACGTCTTTGCGACTGGACTCTCAACAGTACGGCTCATTAAAGCTCGTCTGTCTCTGTTCATCACTGCTCAGGTTCTGTGCGTCCATCTGAACCGCTGGAGGTTGGACCGCAGGCTGGGCCTCTGCCTGCTGCTGTTTTACGCCATCTTCCTCCTCTGCTCTGTCGGCTTTGAGAAGCTGTAGAGGAACACGCATACACACACACACACACACACACACACTGTCCCACACAGACCAGGAGCCTGATTAGTTTGAACCCTTCACTGCTGCCATTAAACAGACATTTCATTAATTAAATCCTCACAGTGGCTGTTTAAGCAGCATCACTGTGACACCAGGTGTCTGTCAGTTATGTTTACCTTTGATAAACAAGTGTTTTAAAGTTTTGTACCGAAGCACCTTCAGCACACGTTTTGTGAAATCAAACCCAGCTGCACTTAACGTGTCACAACAAAGTTTAAATATAAAGTGTTGAATTTGTATCCCTGCACCCCGAAAGCGTGTCGGTTTTGGGCACCTCAAAGATATTATGTGTAAGATTATATAGTTGCTTCTCAGTTTGTGCTCCCGCTTCCTGTTTAGTGTCACGGTTTTTGTCACACCTCTGTGGCTGTAAATGGTCCAGCATGGCTGATAGGCACACTGCAGATATTTGCACTAAGTCTCTGTCGCCCCCTCCTTCAAAAGCCTCTGGGCAGAAGTGGTTTTGAGTGTCTGCTCGGTGAGTCCTCGAGTGCAGTTCTTCTTGAGGTACGAGTGCAATAAAACCCTTTGTTCTGCAAGCTTTCTCCTCTGTGCCTCAGACTTTGTTCTTTGAGCTCTTTAAAGAAAAAGAAAAATTGGAAAAGCATCCTAGAAGGATGAGCAGGGGGTCTCTGCAGAACGTTTTCTTGTGGGCAGAGACGGCCCTACTTGTGGAGTAGCATCTATTGGACAGGAAGCAACATGTTTTTTAAGATTAATTTTAATCATAACTTGAGAAAAGAAGGTGCTAGCTGCATGAAATTTGAATGTCATACATATGGAGGGATGTGTACAATCAAAACACCCCTAACCAGCCTGTAAAATGATTGCTAAAAATTTATAATGAATATGAAATTAGGCATAATTTGAGACGCTTGCCGCATGAACTTTTAAGTCAAATTATGTTTACATTTTCACAATTTTTATTTGAGTCATTGTTCTGTTTTAAACTGTACCTAGACAGTCAATAAATCAGACGTCAATCCGACCAATCACGGTTAGGAAAAACTCCGCCCACATCAAAACCTCCACCAAAGTGTGTAGGGCTGGCTCCGCCCACAAGACAACGTACTGCAGAGACCCGTACTGGAGAAGGATCAGCAAGTACAAATGTAATTTGATGTACCAAAAAATCTAGTTATATACTAAAAAGTGCATTAGAACATTTCAGAGATTTTTGTTTTTTTATTTCAGTCGGGCTAAATTGGCTTCAATACAAAATAAATGTAAAAAATAAAAATAATACAACAAAGTACGTCATTATACAAATACTCATGATAAAAGTCTGACATTTCAGAGAAAAACAAAAAAAAATGATTTCAAACATGTTACAGTCATAACAAAAAAAATAGAAAAGTCATTACAGTACATAGAATGCATCAGGAGCTATATACTGAAGTGTTCGCAATACCAGATTTTTTACAAAAATTCAACTAGTAAAAACCCCAAAATACTAACAGGATATCAGGCAATATAAAATGTAGAAAATAAAAAAAACAAATTGAAGAAACACTTGTGATATGAAACTGTGTCTGTTCTGCATGCAAACCAGCCTCAGTGTTGTAAATGAGTTCAGCATGATGTGTGAAAGGAAATATAAAGCTGCCAAAGTATTTTTAAAAACAGAGAACTCAAATGATGCAACAGTATGGTGACGGTGAACTAAAAAAAAGTGATGCTTTTAGTTTAGTTTGATGAACTCTACAGTCTCTCTCGTGTAGTGTCTGAAACAGCTGATCTGTATTTTAATACACTGAACCATAAAAAGAGTCATTCGCCATCAAGTTTTTATACTAACTTATTTTACCGCCTTTGTCCTGCTACTTCGTCGAGACGAGTTGCTGTGATCTGTGGCTGTTTGGTTGTGGAAAACCTCTTAAAAAACGCACAGTAAATGCTCCTACGATGGGACAACGGTACACACGGACAAAAAGCCACTAGAAAAGCAACAGTCAGACACGATAAGAACATCCTCGGACCGAACATCGTCTCTGTGTCATTTTCGGAGTAAAAATAGATCATTTGGGGAGACTTTCTCAACAGTCGACGCTGTGTGAAGGGCTGCAGATTATCAGCTCTGATGCTAATCTTTGTTTTCCTCTCTCTCTCCTGGGAGCTACCATTGAGAAGGCAGTTGCTGTGGTTACTGCATGATCTTAGTACAATACGATGTGTAGAGGAGAAAGGCTTATAAAGCTGATCTGGGATCTTAGGTGGTCCGGACTGAGAGGAGGTCTGACTATTTGATCTGGGAGTTTGTGGGGGATGTGGGGTTGGTGCTCTGATGTCACTCGGAGGCAGAGCTCTGGTTCTGCTGGTATATGGAGGCTTTGTCCTTCAGCAGAGCCAGACACAGGTGGCAGCTCCAGCTCCCTGCAAACAACACAAAACAGGAACATGAAGCAGCAGGTCGACAACGGAGAACTAAAAACATGTCGCTGCCGCTCAAAGCTCCAACATCAATCATAAAGCAAGAAAAGATGCCTACATTTTCATGTTAAAACTTTGTCTGCTGCCACTGGCTACCATGGTAACAACATACCTGTCTGTCACTCCCTGGCTGCCAAGTTAATGAGCTGCAGCAAGGAACTGAAATAAGTGTTTTATGCAGCAGATACTTAAAAAGACCCTTCACTTCCTGTTTGGAGGAGAACTAATTTAACTGAAATATAAGTGAATTTTTGGGGGTGAACTGTGTATTTTGGGAGGATTTGTGAAAGTAAAGTGTTTGTTTGCAGAAGACTTGTCATTTTTTGATATTTCAAAAGTTGCTGTGTGACATCATCAGCTGCTGGCTGGATATTTTTCCATAGAATAATCTCTAAAGATCGTGAAGCCCAAGCAGTGATTTTTATTAAGAAAATAAAATAAACATAAACAATATCAAAATGCCAATTCAGCCAATCAAAGTTCACCTTTCTGTAACTCTTTTAAAGTTTTAATTATGTTTCTACTTGGACGTTTGAGCAGCAGAGCTCCAAAATGGACTGAGTTTTCTCCTCAGTTTCACCAAAATCCCACTGATTGTTGGTTTGGTTTAAACAGGTTCTTTTGCTACGTTGTGTCATATCACGCTACTCTAGACTGAGCTGCTTGTTTTGATGTATCAACACAACAATGACCAAAACTATTAGGACCCCTGATTGTTCGCCATGACGCTAAAAGTATCTACACACAGAATGAAACTTTAACGTGTTTATGTTCATCCCTCAGGAAAACCTGTGGCCTCTCAACAAACAATGAGAGAAAAAAAGGCAACAGGTCAGATTAATGGCTGCTGCCATGACGATGACCTTTATAACAACAAGTCTTCCTAATCAGGTGACCTCCACTGTAACGCAGCGGCTTACCCTCTGGTGGTTCGGTCATGGGTGGAGTTAGACAGTACATGTGGTATCCTCGGTCACAGTCGTCACAGAACAGCAGCTGGTCCTGTAGAAACACAACAATAGGTTGGCAAACCCGAACAGAAAATCAATCAAAGTGTTGCCACCGTCTGATTCTGTAATAACTGCGTAAATAATTTGACCATTTAAAATAGAAGGAAACAAGGAGAAGCTGAGGCACTGAGTATTTTACACTGACAGATGCTCTGTGTAAAGTTTTCACAAGTGACCCAATATTCAACCTTTAAATGGAACTGAAATATGGAGCATGTCAAATCATCTCCAGAGGATAACTGCAGACCTTTTCCATCACTTACAGCCAGCTTGCTGACATTCACTGCATCAGCTCAAATCAAGCCCAGGCCTAATTATAATAACTGTGAGAACCAGCTCTTTTTGGGAAACGTCTTCTGACATATGAAAAAAGAAGATGACCCTCCTTATTACTGGAACTTTTAGTAGTAGGTGCAGCTAGTGAACCAAAGACAAACTCTTTTCTGAAGACTGGAAAAAATAATTAAATTACAGTTAGTAAATTTAACTGTAGATTTATTATTTTACTTGTTTTCGAGTTTAAAAAAAAATCTGAGACACTATAAAATGATTTAGACTTTATCTCTTTTGCACTATTTAACCGCAGTGCATGAACCCCAATGAGCTCTTGTAGGTTTAACCAAACACTTAGAGATTAATGCAACTTAGGGGGAATTTCATTTTTTTAAGCAGCAGAAGCCTGGAATCAAGTCAAGAAATGACAGAAGATTAAATGAGGTTTTCTTTTTGTAAACCACACATTTAATATTATGAAAATGATTTTCTAGCCATTAAATATATATATTTACAAAAATATTTTCTACATCTGATAAGCACATAAAATTGCTGTATATTTGGGTCTGCAGCCTAGAGCAGTGGTTCCCAAACTTTTTATCTTCTGACCCACAAAATATCCATGGCAAAAACTTGTGACCCCAAATATTACTGGTCTGAGTACACAAACTTTGTTAATAACCCTAAAAACACAGGTTTTTTGAAATTCCAAACAGCTTATACACAAATATAAATACTTATTTATACTTTTTTGTGTTTTTGTAATAGTTATAGGGAAAATATTACATCAGCAATTATTTTATTACCCTTAAAATTGATTTCTGGAGATTATCCAAGGTGCTTCATGACCCATAATTGGGTCCCAAGCCCAACTTTTGGAACCAAAGTGC